CATTCAACCTCTCGTGTTTTCAGGACTCTGCACTCTAACTTTGACTATAAAACCCACTGCTTGATTTGTGCTGAGCAACTTGACTATGATGGATTAAAACGTCACCCTGATAGATGTTCTGCGATAAGCTGTATTGAGATTGTAAGCTCAATTGAGAAAAAGAGCAAACTTCAAAGAACAATACTTGAAACCTGCGAAAAGAGACTTGATGAACATGCATTGCAAATTAAGGCAAGAATCGTTTGTGCAGGTGATCTCCAAGGTGAAGCCAAGTATCACAGACACTGTATGCAGCAGTTTCTCACAGGCAGAGGTGGAGGAGAGTCCAGTACTAAAAATAATGACACTGTAAACTGTAATGCATTCCAGCTTTTATGTGACTGGTTGTCAAGGAATCCTCAAAGTCAGTTCACAATATATGATCTGCAGGAGAAAATGAGCTTGTATCTTCCTGATGATGTTCAGCCTTACAGTGTCAAACATCTCAAGCGTTGACTTCTTGAATATTATGGTGGAGATCTGACAATATCAGAAACAGATGGCAAAGCTAATGTTGTGACATTTGTGAAAAATGCATCATCTATCTTACAGGATTCATACAGTTTGGAAGATAATACCCTGGATGATGAGATCAAGCAGGCACAAAGATTGGGACGTCATGTCAGGACTTCAATAGAAAACATTACATCATCAGATGTGTTTTATCCATCCCCGCAAGACATAAACATAACTGAACTTGAAAAAGACATCCCTACAGTCCTGTTCAATTTTGTAAAAAGTATGATGGGAAAACCAAACTCAAATTCGGCTGCAGAAAAACAACACCTTATTTGTCACCCTTGCTTCTTTCTACTGGTCTTTTTGTTCATCAGACTACAAGGTCAAAGATCCTACTGAATGTCCTATCTGCTCTTGGACTCACCGTATCCTATGAGCATGTTATGGATTTTGAAAAGTCAGCTGTTTCAAGTGAAACTATAGATGACCTTCCGACTGGAATCTCCTCCAATGACACAGGTGGCGGATTTTGTCAATGGATTGCAGATTATTTTGACCATAATGAGGACACTCTCACAGGACAAGGATCAACACATGTCATGGGCGTCATTGCATGCCAAACCCCACCTTCAGAGCATAGATTGGTAATTAAACGGCGGAAGAAAACCACCGAGGATATTGCTAGTGCTGGTGATTTTGGGGACATTATCAGGCCATACCTACTGTTCTGAAGGGTTCTCAGACACAGTACGTGATAGCACAAATACACCTGAAGCGCGGCAAGGACATTAGCTTTTCATGCTGCACGAGATTCTGTGCGAAGGTCGAACGCGTATGAGACAGATGTAAAAACTTTCAGTTGTAGGCTAGTGACGGTTGTTAGTGGGTAAATCTCTCCAAGTGATAGCTAGCAAGTACAGATAAAATAGAAATAGAAACAGAGATAGTTGAGAGAATTATTCACTAACATTTAACACTTGCTAGGTAGACAGTTTCTTCATATTAAGTTTAAACTTCATTATTTATTAGTTTATTTCACATTTCTCATTGCATTAAAAAGGGGATTTCACGTTTAGTTGATTATAAGGGGATTTCACGTTTAGTTGATTATAAGGGGATTTCACATTGATTGAAAGGTAAGTCCAAATTTATGTAGTTTAGTTTAACTTCCACTGCACACCATAGATAATTTAGTTTAATTTCCACTGCGTAACATTGGTAGCAGAGCGTGGTTGCTCTGAACAAGGCTTAGCTACATTTAGTTACAGTTATAGTTTTGATAGGTTTTAGAATCAACCTACTGATTCAACATAGACGTATGCTAGTATTTTGATACTTGTTTGATTACAATGGTTGACAAATCAACAAGCATGTCTGATATAGATAAATCAGGTGAAATAAAGATGTCTGCAAAGGCTACAAGTGATGTTAGTAAGCTGGAGTTAAAACTTGCCCAACTTAAGAAAGAAAAGACAGCAGCGAAGTCTGCATTGACAAAGGCTCAGAATAAGATGCTGAGTCTAATTGATAGTGAAGATCTTCCTACAAGGAAAGCAGTTAGGGGTGAGATAGATCAGGTGAGTTCACTGCAGGCTAAAGTTGTTAGCTTACTGTATGTCCAAGGTGTACGACCAAGGTAATGATTGTGATAGAGCTAAGAAAACCAGTAAAGAAATAGATGAGGTCCTGGAAGTTAGTGATGAGGCAATACAGACTGCAAGAATTCATTTGAGCGACAGGTCAGATGAAAGTTCATCTACTAGTTTAAGGTCAGGACTGTCAAGGCTGTTTCACACAAATGACACAACGAAACACATCCCTGTTACACATGACGCTACAGGTGTTCATGAAGATAATAAACAAGGTATTCCTTCTGTAGATCAGAGAGATGATACTAGTATGATAATTAATCAGGAAGTAGCAGCATCTGAAATAGAAGGAGTTAAAAAACAATTGACATTTGAGCAGATAGACCAAAAATCTGGCCCTAAAATGAAATCTTTTATTGAATCAAATACAACATCACATGACAGCAAAATAGGTGCTGATATGTGGACTAAGCTGAAACGGGTTTCAATTCCTGTGTTTCATGGCAACATCAAAGAATATGAAAGCTGGAAAGCAGTCTTCATTGCATGTGTAGACAGAGCCGATGCTACTAATGAATACAAGTTGTTACAACTGAAACAATACGTAGCTGGAGAGGCTTCTGATGTCATTTCAAGGCTAGGACACACTGCAGCAGCTTATGATATAGCTTTAGAACGACTGGAGCGAAAATATGGGGGTAAGAGAAGGCAAATCGCTTTGAAAATGGTGGAAGTTTATAACTTCCGACCGATTCATCCAGGGAACGCCAAGGACCTGGAGAACTTTGCAGACCTTTTAGACATCACTGTTGTCAGTCTCAGAGAAACTGATAAAATAGAAGAATTGGGTGACGGGTGTCTGTATTCCCAATTGTTGAGAAAAATGACAGGGTCAATGATAACAAATTATCAAAGATGGTTGTTTGAAATCCAACATCAGGAATCAGTAGAATCTTTAAGAGAATGGGTTCTTAAAGAATCTGAATTTCAAACAGTTGCATCTGAGGTAAAACTAGGTATCATTGAAAAGACTAAGGAGAAGGAACATAAGTACAATCAAAAGTCAGGGTCGTTCTTTGGAAAGTCACAGGTACTGTTCTGTAACTTCTGTCATGAGAAGGTCATCAAATAGGAACCTGTACACGCTTCAGGGATTTAGATATCCAGAATCGATGGGCTAAAGCTAAAGAATTGAAATTGTGCTTTCGATGCTTAGGAGTGCGTCATGTTGGGAAACTATGCTACACAAACATCCCATGTGGTATTGAAGGATGTCGGTCGACACACAACAGATTGTTACATGACAGTAACTGGGTTAAAACACAGACAAAGAATTATGTGAACTAAAGTAACAACTCTGAAGAACATAAAACGGAGAACAAACAAACAACAACAACAATGTCAACAACAAGAAAGGGATATTATTTTTCTTCACTCAGAACAGTTCCAGTTATTCTAAAGAATGGGTTGCGTAGAATAAAGGTCAATGCTCTTCTTGATGATGCTAGCACCCAAACATACATCAATGAAGACGTAGTATCAGAGTTAGGGGTCAAAGACAGACAGTATCTGTAATTGTTCTGAACAGCAAGCAGGAAACCTTTAATAGCATGGCTGTTGAAGTAGGTTTAGAAAGTGTTGATGGCTCGGTGGACATGGCAATATCCGCACTTACTACAACAAAGGTCACAGGGATGATGAAGGTCCTTGACTGGCAAAGACATGCACATGACTGGAACCACTTACGTGACATTGAGTTTCCAAAATTGAGCTCCAGACCAATTGTAGACATATTGATTGGCATGGATTATTTGGAACTCCATTGTTCTCTTAAAGATGTTTGTGGCCAGCCTGGTGATCCAATAGCAAGGTTAACACCACTGGGTTGGACGTGCATTGGTAAAGTGCATGATTCAGAAATAGATAACACACAAGTGACAGGCTCATTCTTTATTCACAATGCTAAAACAACAAGTGATGACAAAGAACTTGAGGCATTGGTAGATAGGTTTTGGGAGGTTGAATCCATATCAGGATCCAAACCTATGATGACAAGAGATGAGGAAATGGCTGTGAATGCTGTAAAAGAATCACTTACCCATGATTCAGAGAGGTACACTGTTGGTGTTCCATGGAAGGAAGGTTCAAAACTTCCTGAAAGTAATTATGATATTGCTTTCAATCGCCTGAAACAAATTGAGAAAAAGTTATCAAAAGATGTGACAATTCAAACAGCATATGAGGATGTGATATCACAGTATGAGAAAAAGGGATACATAAAAAAAGTGCCTGAAAAAGAAATCAAGAACAAATCCTGGTACTTACCACATTTTCCTGTTGTCCGGCCTGACAGAAATACAACAAAAGTACGGATGGTTTTCGATGCATCAGCTAAATGTGATAATGTGTCTTTAAATGATGTTGTGCAACAAGGTCCAAAACTGCAGAATAATCTGGTTGAAATACTGCTAAGATTTAGAAAACATCCAATTGCGATCATATGTGACATTGCAGAAATGTAATTTACAAATTCAGATTCCTAAAGGTGATCAGCCTTTCTTCAGATTTCTTTGGAGGTCCATGAATGTGGAGAAAGAACCAGATGTGTATGAATTTTCACGGGTAGTCTTTGGAATGAATTGTTCGCCCTTTCTAGCACAGTATGTTACACAGGAACATGCTAAGGCATGTGAGAGTCACCTTCCTTTGGCAGCAGAAACAGTTGCTAAATCAACATACATGGATGACACAATGGATTCTGTTGAGACAGAAGACAAAGCGCTAAAGCTTTATGATCAAATAAATGAACTGTGGACAACAGCTGGAATGCATGCCAGGAAGTGGGTCTCCAATTCATTGAAGGTACTTGAATGTATTCCAGTTGCAGATAGACTATCTGAAATTAATATCCAGATGTCTGAGCTGCCATCTGTGAAAGCTCTTGGGTTACTTTGGAACGCAGAGAATGATAAGTTTCAGTTCTGCTACAAACTTCCAAATGATCACTTCCACATGTCGAAGAGAGCTTTCTTGAGAGAAATTGCAAAGATATTTGACCCTCTAGGGCTTCTAGCTCCATTTACAATTAGGGCAAAGATTATTTTGCAACATATTTGGTTGTCTGGTGTAGGATGGGATGAAAAGATGCATCCTGAATTAGAAGAAAATGCATTTCAGTGGTATGTGGAATTGGCAGATTTGAAGTCGTTAAGTTTCCCAAGGTGGATAGAATTTAGCTCAGAGATAGCCATTCCATGTCTGCATGTGTTTGTAGATGCATCACAAGATGCGTTTGGCGCTGTGATATACCTGGTGAGTGGTCATGAAGATAGAATAGGTAGTCAGCTTGTTGCATCAAAAAGCCATGTTGCTCCAATCAAGACTGTCAGTGTTCCACGACTTGAGTTAATGGCCGCTGTTCTTGGAGTGAAACTACTTCTGGCTGTTGCAAAAGGACTAGACATGTCACCACATGATGCACAGATCTGGTCTGATAGCATGAATGTTTTATGGTGGATTAAGAACCACAGTAGAAGCTTTAAGCAATTTGTGGCCAATCGTGTAGGCTACATTCAAGAGATGACAAAACCTTGTCAGTGGATGCATGTGCCAACAAAGCTGAATGCAGCTGACATACTTACCAAAGGAAGTAAACCTGAAACTCTGGGCACAACAACATGGCTGCATGGTCCTGAGTTTTTAGCACATGATAAAAGTCAATGGCCAGAGCAGATAAATGCGTTCGAGAAGGTAGATCTGGAAAGGAAAACTGGAACAAGCTTCAAAGTTACTATGAATGTTCAACATGATGATGCACCATGGCGTTTAGATCCATGTAGGTTTTCTGACTGGAATAGACTTTGTAGAATCTTTGCATGGGTATACAGATTTCTAAACAACTCTCGTACAGCAAAATATATCAGAAGGAGAGACAATCTTGACCTAGAAGAGATTGAGGAGGCTGAAAGAAAACTAATAGCAAATGAACAAAAGGAAGCATTTCCTACAGAGTATATGGCACTGAAACAGAACAAAGGAGTAGCATCCAGTAGTAAGCTCATTGGATTGCAGCCTTTTCTTGATGAAATAGGGGTGATGAGGTTAAATGGTAGATTAAGGTTTGCAGAAGTACTGTCTTGGGATGCTAGGTTTCCCATCATTCTCCCCAGAAAAAGCTGGGTGACGAAACTGATCGTGAAACACTATCATGAAAAGTGTCTTCATATGGGAACCAACAGCACATTGGCCTCGTTGTCTTCCAAATTCTGGATTGTATCCTCAAGAGAGGAAATTCGCGAATGGGAACATGAATGTGCTTGGTGCAAAAAACAAAAGGCAAAACCAGCACAACAGCTCATGGGAAATCTTCCAAAGAGTAGAGTAGTCTGTTCAATGAGAGCATTTGTTCAAACTGGGGTGGACTTTGCTGGTCCGTTTGTAACTGTACAGGGTCGAGGTAGAAGCCGCCAGAAGAGGTATCTGTGTCTCTTCACGTGCCTTGCTACTCGTGCTGTACACTTAGAGATTGCTTTCGGACTAGACACAAATTCATTCTTGAATGCCCTGTTCCGCATGGCACATAGAAGAGGTTGGCCCAAGGAGATTGTATCTGACAACGGCACGAATTTCGTTGGAGCCGTAAAAGAGCTTAAAGAGCTGGTGAAATCTTTAGATTCTGACAGCATGAAATCAAAATTGGCAAACAAAGGCATTGTTTGGAGGTTTAATCCGCCAAATGCTCCTCACTTCGGAGGCATCTTCGAATCCATGGTCAAATCAGCTAAACGGGCCATTTATGTGGTACTTGGATCAAGTGATGTCACCGATGAAGAATTGATGACTGCCTTTACGGGTGTTGAAGCTCTGTTGAATTCGAGACCACTAACCTATCAGAGTGCCCACATTCAAGATGATGTTCCGCTCACTCCAAACCATTTTTTACATGGACAGCTTGGGGGAGACTTCGCTCCAGAAATAGATTCAACTTCCTTTGCGACCCAGAAGCGTTGGCGGAGAATACAGGAACTCATCAGGCATGTATGGAGGAGATGGATGAGAGAATGGCTTCCAACTTTGAATGTTAGGAAAAAGTGGGTCACGCCATCAAGAGATTTCAAAATTGATGATGTGGTTATTCTCGTATCACAAGATAACCCACGAGGAACTTGGCCTCTAGGGAGGATAGTGAAAACTTACCCAGGGAAGGATGGCCACGTCAGGGTGGTAGATGTTCAAGTTGGAAAGTCGAGGTTCACTCGACCAGTGACAAAGGTTTGTCCTTTGGAGTATAGCGACTGACTAAGATACTCTAGAAGATACCAGTTCATAGTGTAAATAGAACACAACGTTCAAGTGTTGTACAGTGATTGTTGTAAATAGATTGGGTATTTTAGTATTTATTTGGTTGTTTTGAGGATGCCTTACTCTAAATAAATGATGATAGACAGGGGTCTATCATAGAAGGGGGCATGTTCTGAAGGGTCCGTAAAGAACTGATGTTCTCGGACACAGTACGTGATAGTACAAATACACCTGAAGCGCGGCAAGGACATTAGCTTTTCATGCTGCACGAGATTCGCGAAGGTCGATCAGCGTATGAGACAGATGTAAAAACTTTCAGTTGTAGGCTAGTGACGGTTGTTAGTGGGTAACTCTCTCCAAGTGATAGCTAGCAAGTACAGATAAAATAGAAATAGAAACAGAGATAGTTGAGAGAATTATTCACTAACATTTAACACTTGCTAGGTAGACAGTTTCTTCATATTAAGTTTAAACTTCATTATTTATTAGCTTATTTCACATTTCTTATTGCATTAAAAAGGGGATTTCACGTTTAGTTGATTATAAGGGGATTTCACGTTTAGTTGTTTATAAGGGGATTTCACATTTAGTTGATTGAAAGGTAAGTCCAAATTTATGTAGTTTAGTTTAACTTCCACTGCACACCATAGATAATTTAGTTTAATTTCCACTGCGTAACAATCAGCAATGCAATAATATGTCATGAAGAAGTGATAATTGTGTTTTAATTATGTTTGATTTTTTGGTTGCATGTGACCTTTAACAGGTTTTCCATGATCTAACAAGATACATGTACATACTGAATGTTTCAAAATGCCCTTCTCCCAGCAAAATTCGTACTGCGTGTTATTGTTCATATTTTAACTCAACACTTAACTTATTTGAAAAAGTAGCCTCTATAAGTTTTCACAACAAATACCGTTACTTTTTAGTGTAAGATTAAGTCAATCTATATTCAGAAATGTGGAAAATGTCACACTCTACCTTTAGGCCACCTCTCTTGAACAGACGACATGGTCCTGAGATAATCCCCACAATTCACCAGACAGGAAGTGCACTGTCTGTACTGGGCCAGTACTAGGCTGGTACAGTATTTCGGTGCAGTATTTACGGTAACCACCAATATGTGGCCCAGTACAGTTTTGCCTGTAATGGGCCACTAACAGAAAACAAGCATTTGCCCAGTTCTGGCTCTATACTGTCGTACATTATGCCTGTATCAACAGAACGATGCCAGTACTGGCCCAGTTAAGTGATGTTAGCTGGGGCACCTGTAATTTCAACGTTGTTGCTTTTCATTTTAATGTTTTCTCTGAAACATAAATAAATCTTACATGAAGTAAAGCATATGCACATTGTGTCTAAAAATCAACTCACAGTATTTCCATGTAGTTTGTACAACTTTTGTAAATTTAAGAACTGTAGCCCTTAACCCACTAATATGAATTCCGAGTTCATTCGCATGTCACCCCACACACACTTCACACCACACCTTTATACACCAGCAATTATTCATCCCTAAGTGTTTGCATTTTTGTACAACTAATAGTATTTAATCAAACCAACCATGATCTAGCATTAGTACCTTCCTATTTTAGTATTCCTGTTTTAAGGTGTTACCAGAATTCAATATCTGTTTTTAGAATGGCACTTATGTCAGTGTTTCTCAAGACACCCCTGTATGGAGCTCAGCCTGCACCACACAAGGTTGTAGCTATGAAAAGGACATGGTGGTCGTTGATGACAAAGGTATCATTATATACTTAGTATAAAAAAAAAATGTTTAAAACATGATCAAAAGACACAATTGTGTTCACTTTGAACTACTGATTTTGTCTTACATCTTACAAACTATCTTAAACAACAAATGCTGCTCTTAAAACAAACTGTTAGCCAAAGTCTTATCATCACATGATTCAATCATTTCACTTATTCTGCTGTGTTTGCAGGAAGACAGCATATTCGGCGCTTTCAGTTCTGTAAATGTGAATTGGAGCCAATCACACTTATCAAGTTCAATCTCTGGCCAGCTTCACCAAAGCACCCAAAGCTGGCTTTCCACACAGACCTTCTCAGGTGGATTCACGGACTGTCAGTGGAATGTCATGTTTCTGTCAAAGGCTTTTGTGAAGCCCTGAGTGCTCGGCTCCCAAAGCAGCATCAAGGCTTTGTTTCTTTGGAGGTTAGTTCTTTCTGAGTTTATTCAATCCATGAAATTGCAGAAACGAAAGTAAAAGGCCAAACTGAGTGCATTTATTGTAGGTACAATTTATATGTTAAGAAGCATCACCATATAACAATTGAAAAATACTGCATCTCTTAAGTGTTGAGTCAGTTATGTTTACTATTACAATTTTCATTATATGGCAGATTTTCAGTATAGCTGAAAGAGGGAAAGGAACCAGTTTCCTATCATTTGCTTTCTCACGAGCCATTATAAATCATCTCATAGTGTAACCATGAGTTTTATTACAGAGAAATATTGGACACACTCATTATGACTTGTATCTCCATCACTTGGAATTTAATTCAGTACCGTTATGTATCTTCTAACTGATTAAGTAATAGGTTTGCAGTGAAAGAATATGTTGCTTTGTGGTTTCTCTGTATATTTTTGCAGGAGAGGTCCCATTACTGGATGGTAATTTGTTAGTTAGTATTAGCCAATCAGATTGATTAATGACGCGATTGTCACGTGATGATTTGTTTCAGTTTCATTGATTTATGTAACCCTTATCATTCCTGTGGTTAAATGTCTGTTAAAGTAATATACATTTATCATTGTAATACAATCATGTTCTCAACTGTGATATTTGTTTTCCTCTTTGGCTAGCTCTACTGTGAGTTTATGTTCAGTGGCATCTGTCCTTTTCTGTCTCTCCATTAATCTTATGTGTACTTTTACTATGATGAGGAGGGAAAGAAGAAGCTGACAAGTATACGTTTCTGGCTTACATGTTGCAAGTGCTACCAGTGACCAACATTTAAGACTTTGTTTATTTGCAACACACAGTGATGCACTGCTTGCAGTGCTTATGTGTGCTTGTGTGTGTGCGTGCCTGCATGCGTGTGTGTGTGTAATAAGTTTTCATGGGAAAAGAATATGCCAGTGTATACTGATATTGTCATAAATCTGTAGAACAAAATACAGTCCTTGAAAATGTACTGTAATGTTAATTGGAATTTTCCAGCTTATAGAGAAAGCATTAGAAACTTGAATTATTGTTACAGAAGCTCAGTGTTATTCTGGTCTTGTGGGGAAATAGTCTGTGTAATCCATATAATTGTGCGAGTGGATTTGTGGTACACCCCTTTACTACACCTTCACTCGTAACACTGTTCATATCATAGTACCTATTTTATTTGTTACCATGGCAGTATATTATTGGCATCACACAATTATCTCTTCCCCTTAATTCAGTACAACTGTGGAGGATGTTGCTTAACTTTGAGGTCAACTGAACAATCTACATGAGGAAGGTATATCTTGTTTAACTAAATCTTTGTGTAAATCATATTCATTTTTTTAACTTTTTTGTTCATTAGGTGAAGAGCATATATAAAGTTCTTATGAAAGAAACTTTGGAGGAATTCAGATACTTCCTGTACAACATGAACCATTTACACCAATTCCACCCTCAACTCAGTAATGGAGCAGAGTGTGCAGCCTGCTACAAAGTAGGTCATTTTAAATTTAATTTTATTACAAATCTGATTTTGTTATAATTAAAAAGCATAAATTTGAAAGGTTTGTGGTCTATACATAATTCTCAAACAAACAGTTTCTTTGTCAGTTGATGAAAACTAAAAATGTAACAAAAGTCACATATTTAATTAACATTAAGATTCATCACAGTGGAATATTAAAAAATAGCCAGTTTATACTTTTCAAATTTAACAAACTGTTAAAGGCATAGGTTTAGTATGTGGGAGCTGTTTTTAAATGTGCAGGTTATTAGCTGGCAGTATATAGGGGAGTGAGGTTTCCAAATTATTCATGTGAAGTTGGTTGACAGAATGATAGGTGGGTTGAACTGCACAAGTGTCAGCTACACACTTTTGGTAAACAAAAATATCTATAGTTGCTTCAAAAAGCATGTAGTATGTGGAAACACGTTGACTACAAATTAATTTTTAAAAAGGTTTGGTCAGATTTAGAGTAAAGTAAGAATTATCTACTTTAGCATTCACCATTTATCTTTATTATTGTAATTTCAGTTGCCAACAAAAATAATCAGCCTTGATGCTGATTTCCAGCTCGTCCGTAAGGTTTCCTCAGGCTATTCATGGGGAAAATCAAAACATACCACCTTCTTCCTTGAACAAGAAGAAGTTGATGAATACATGAAATCATACAGTGGTGATTCAAAAAAAACCTAATGTGGTAAGTGAAACATAGATATCCTCTGGTGAACTAGTGAACACTAGAATATGAATGGTGATAGTGTGTTAGAAGTAGGTGTTGTAATGTGAAGAATACTAGGGCTGAGAGGTAGAAGGGTGACCAGCGAGGTGGTGAAGGGAATGGAGGGGTAGGTATTGACACCTTGAGATATTAGGCTGAGTTAGAGAAGAACATTTTATCATTATTTTAATTTTATTAACTTTTATGTCTGGCAGGATTGCAGTGAATTCCAGGCAGGGAATAGTTTAAGAGCAAAAAATAAGACAGCAAAGCTTTCCGAAACCGCTGTATTTGGATCAGCCTGTAGGCATGACTTCCCCCAGCTTTTCTTCAGCCTCAAACATGGGGAAAGGTAAGCAATTATGTGTTTGCCTATTTTCATATTGGTCAATAGCATGGTGGTATTGTCACATTTTTAGCCAGATAACCTAAATCTCAACTATATTAATCTCATTCATGAAGAAATTTAAACATGATGTAAGTTCAGATTTACTTTGAGTAAAAACATTTTTCATGATGCTAAATATGAAAGGTACAGATTTACTTCTTATTGAGAGAGATATAATTATTCACACCAGTAATGAAAATTTATCAAAATCATAATTTATGAGGGAAATATTAAAAATCACGTATGATTAATGTCAATTAATACTTAAAGGCGCATTGTAACGCTTTTTTTTTATTTCAGCCTACATTGTATATATTAGGGCATATAGTGCCTTTAACTTGCCTAATACAAAATATTTCATTATTCTTATAGGTTAGGATACTCAGTTTTTCTTATTGAAAAACTTTGGGAGAAGACTCAAACGGGCACAAACTTGCATATCATGTATGACATCGCATGTGTTCTGCACAGCCACCTACAGGTATTATAAATCATAAATAACTTGTGTCAACTTTTTATTTAAAATAGCCACAGTCAGAAGAAGAAATTTATTTGCAAATCATTACAGCTTAGGCACCGTTCATAATTTAGGGCTGGGGGTGTTGGGTTGGTGGTTCATCCATTTTGTTCTAGGGAGGTGGGGGGAGGAAGCAATTTTGTACACATGTACTAGGTTGGGGGGTCAGCAATTTTGTACATCATAATATTAAAAAAGTATGCTTAAAAATTATAGGAAGGGGAGGGAGGTCATTTATTTTTTGTACATACATTTTACATTTTGGGTGGGTGGGGGTGGGGTCATTCACATTGTATATGCCTCTCCATAAAAATCATCATCATCCCCTACAGTCAAAATACTGCTAAGTTTTGAATACATAACTTGCAGCTTATATATACCTCTCTGTTAGCCAACTTAAGAAAATGCAGGTAGTGAATATCCAGCCAAACGTTGAAACAGTCTTTTCTTATTATCAGTCTGTGTGAATTATTATGTTCTCTTTTCAGAAAAGCCAACATCACAGTTACTTAGTTAACAAAATTAAGCTATCTGTGCCCATATTTCACAGCTATGGACATAAACGGTCTTGCCAGGTTTGTATTTTTGTATCATTTTAGTAATGCTATTCTTAAACAGGAACCCGTGAAGGTCCGGGTTAGAATGTACCTTCAGCAACCCATGCTTGTCGTAGGAGGCGACTAACAGGATCGGGTGGTCAGGGCCGCTGGCTTGGTTGACAGATGTCATTGGTTCCCAACTGCGCAGATCGATGCTCATGCTGTTGATCACTGGATTGTCTGGTCCAGATTTGATTATTTACAGACCGCGGCCATATAGCTGGAATATTGCTGAGTGCGGCGTAAACCTAAACTCACTCACTCACTCACTCACTTAAACAGGAAATGTGCTTATTATCAAAAGCATATATTGTCATAAAATACAAATTTATTTTCAAAGATATTGTACAGTCCAAGGAGGACAGAAGGAGTCGGCCTGTCAGATGGAGAAGGTCTTGAAAGACTGTGGTCGTACCTGGGCAAATTTGCAAATATCACAAAGGAAATGACACCGGAAAACAGGGTTGATCTCCTGAGTGATGCCCTTCTCCACTTTGGCCAAAACATTCAAGACAAATTTGGTGTGTATCAAACATATTGTGTTATCTTATTTCCATTGTTAGCTCAATGGCCCAACAATTTTTCTTTTTCACAAAAACTATGAAATATATGTACAGTAGGGGTGGGTATTGCCGTGAATTTTCATATTCCGATGCGAAAGCATATATTGTGATATGTATTGCAATATATTGCAAGATTTGTTTTTAAACAATAAAAACTACTTATATTATAGTTGAAACAAGGAAAAGAACAATTTAACATCAATACAGTGGTTACTAGTTTGAACTAGTTTCTCCACTCTCAAAAAAAGCCCTGAGCTTTTAGACAGCAACTTGACCTGGTCAGGCAGAGATCACTGGTCATTAATGAGTAAATATTTAAAACATTCAGATCCAAAACATTGCGAAACACTTGAACAAAAGTTTAGAAGTCAACTTCAAACCGAACTTAACTTGACTTCCGGTGTGAAAAACGGAAATATCCGAACATTTCCGAGTATTACGAAGTTTTCCGAATGTATGTCGAAATACCGGTTTTTGATCAGCGTATCGCAATACGTATCGATTTCATGTCTGAACCGCTTGTTGCAGATTACCTTATTTTTTTATAGTGAGCAATTCATCGGTCTCAAATTAAATCAAACGTCCTGTATAAATAATTGATATATTTCTGGTGGGCTCTCTAAGTTAAAAGGTTTCTCTTTCTGATGTATATGTTACATGTTGAGGCATATTTGTTATTCAATGTTTTTCGTGATGTTTGTTGTGTATTTGAACTGAAAATTAATCTGTACTGCTTTAATTTCAACTAGCAATAACTTTGGTCAGAAGACATGAAAAGGCCACTCAAATGGAGCTGTCAAGCAAGGCTGCTCTCCAGGATTTGCTGTCTTTTCAGCAAGGTATTCACATCAGTTTATGATTTGGAACTTGCCTTTATAGCAAAACAAGGAAACGTTTTCAGAATGTGTGTGTTGATGTTGAATTTAGTTCCTGAGAAATACATACTGTAAAAATATAGTAATTACTTCCTACAGGTGCTGATTTGGGTAGCATTGAAAGTGCCATAGAAGAGGAAAGATTGGCAGCAACACAAAAATCAGTTCCTGGTATATCACATTACATTTTTTAGTCTTTAACTTACATAATCAAGTCCCTTTATCATACAATTTAGAGTATTTCATTCTTTCTTTCAAAATGCTAGCAATCAACCGAATTACAATATGTTGAGGCAATTTAGTACAAATTTGATGTGACCATAAACAAGCAAAGTTAAATCACTTAAGTCCAAGTATGTTCAAACTGAGATGTCTAGTGGCTAGTAGGTTACAAACAAAATTCAAAATTAGATTGAACAAAGACAAATAACTAAAGTCAGCCTCTGTTTAGATGTTATCAATATGCCCATCGTTATTACCTGAATTCATGTTACTCAGTTATCAACTCACTGCTTCAATGGATCAATCAGCACTGAGAAATACAGAAAATAGTATTCTGCAAATATTTGCAAATAAATACACTAATCTTTGAACACTAAAAGGTACTATCTTTTCAGAACCCCTTTCCACTGAGGAGGAGTACTGTGTCACATCTGAAAATTTGGACAAGCTCAGGCAAGTATATCATACAACAAATACCTTACTTAACCATAATGGCCAGTGCGCAAAATAGTTTGCAAATTTTGTTTGGCAGGGTTTACTCCCATACGAACTACATCCCATTTGAACTACATCCCAAATTAACTACAGGGAATAATAAGGGATTAATTATCTGAGTAGAGGCACCCCTATGGCATGTAATGAGCACAGCCCATCAGCTCTCCTAGAAGAACTACATGCTTAAAATCCTATTGACCAGTAATTATTTTGTTGTAAAGGTAATCTAATAACCAGAAAGTAAAGGACAAGAGAGAAGGGTATATTGTTGTTAGTGAATGTTCTTGTATTCATATTATAAGAAAGACAAACAAACCACGCTTAGTATATTGGAGTAAAGGTATATTGTAGTAAAGGTGAAATATATACGAATGAGTACAATGAAAACTAAGTGTCGTCATAGGTGACGTATAACTGTAGTAGCCTGGTAGTCATCATGTGTATGACGTTACAGTTAGTGACACTAGGTAATATGTAATAGGTATATAAGACATCTTCTTAGGTAGTTGAAAATACTGTTCATAAAGCAGTAAAAGTCCCAAGAGAGACACTTATGAAAACAACAGAAACAAATACAGAGATGGACATTCTTCCATTTGTTTGTACCTTCAATCTACATAACTACAATTATGCCCATTATAAAAGCAAATCTTGCAAATTTTTCCTTATCCTGACTCATGCTATTTTGCTTGTCTTCATCTTCTTGCAAACACAGTGGAACACTTGTATCTCCCAATTAGAAGCTCCTTCAATGTAAAATCACCTAATTAGTACTCACCAAGAGTTGCCTCCCTCCTAGCCATTTCGCTGCTGAAGGAGCAGGCCACCTCTTCCCACATGTATCACTCTCTCCTTCTTCGCCCAGTGAGCAGGGCGCGGAGAGCTCTGTGTCTCCCTACACATTACACATTATATCCTTTGGTTATTCACCTCTCATAGACTTCTATAGAGGTGTAGCTAGTATCCTTCAACATAATGCATTGATATTTATTCGTGTTTCTACTGTTTTATTCACGGGACGCCGTATTGGTTCAGTAGATTGCGTTGATGAAAATCTGCACTATTTGTAAATTACGTTTTTCTGCTGCTGACCCGCATTTAATATGCCCTAGTTGTACTACGCCATGCTCTACTGTTTTTCACGCTGCAATTATTGTACTAATTTATCCAATTCTGCCTTTGATAAATATATATTTTGCATCTTGAGACGCGCAGCTAATACATTGCTAATACACTGGAGCCCCTAGCCTGTCAACTGCTGTCAGACGACCCCCTCCCGCTAGAGTTACCCTCGGAGGAGAGGCGTGGGACGCAGTCCGCTATCTCCAAGGAGCAACCTGCATCCCCGGACATCCCGCCGTCGCAGCCAAAGACTAGGAGGGCTTCCACGTCGTCACAACGCAGACTCCGCACCCCCAGGGCTACATCCACGTCCAAGGGGAAATCAACGAAGTCCAGACGAACTTTCTCAGCCGAGATTGTTCCCGTTGCAGAGTTGGGCCTGTATGATGATCAACCAATCATCATACCTGATTTACGTCGGAAGAAGCGGCCAGTGTCGGCAACTATAACATCAGCGCAAATCAGCACGCAGTCTGAGGCACCTACACTGATGTCAGAGAATCTTCCTGAGGGTCCCGTCGCTACC